GCCAGCCAGGCCGAGGAGGCTGCTCTTGCCAATGCCGAAGGAATTCTAGGCTTTTTGGCTGAAGGGCGCAGGGCCTGGAAAATGGCCTGCGTGTGCAGGCGCAGCATGTAACAAGGAGGCTGCGAGGATCTCGGCTGAGCAGAAGGCCAAGAAGGAGAAAGAGGTGAAACAGGCCAAAAAGTTGGCCTTACTGAAGGGGCAGGCCGCGAAAAGGAAGAAGTTGGACGAGTTGGAAAGGGTAAAGAAGGAAGAGGAAGGAAAGTTGAAAGCAGTGGATACAGAAGAAGAAGAAGAGAAAAAGGCGGAAGAAGGAGTTCCCCTGATTAGAAGAAGTATCAGGGAAAGAGGAGAGACGAGTGGCACAAAGAAAGAGGATTCCTGGCTGGAGAAGAAGGTTTCTGAATGGGTTGCTAATCTGTCTCTGGGAGAAGAGGAGGCGGCGATGTTATATGTTCCCAGGGAAGAACATGAGGCGTTCGTTAAGGAATTGGAAGCCAAGGAAGATCCTCTCAAACGGCAAACGATAGAGGAGGAGAAAAAGTTGGAATGGAAACTGCGTCTAACCAGGACAGGAAGAAGAGGATGGAGGCGGCAAGTACGGCGGCGAAAGAACTGGAGGAGGTGAAACAGCAAAGGGTGCAGATGGAGGCACAGGCGGATTTACAAGGAAAGATGGAGGTGATGGCGAGGAATATAGAATGCCTGGCGCAGGCTCAGAAGGAGCAATACCAATTTGGGAGGAGTCAGGATATAGCCATGCGATCAATACGATTGGGGCTTAGAGAATTTGCACGCGAAATGATAATGCACGTGGGCTCAGAAGTACAGGCGAGGCTAGAGGGCACACAACGATTCTGCACAGGCGGAGAACTTCGATAACTGGGAGGCAAATGTGAACTTCTACGTGCACTAGCAAAAGATATCTCCTGACGAACATGTCCTCATAGCCTTCCATGCTCTCAAAGACGAAGCAGCAAGCTTCGCCAGGTGGCTTTGGCGCACTGCTAATTGCAATATTCTGCGTTCACCCCTCTCAGTGAGTTTTTCAAATTATTGTCCATCAAGAGCGCTTCGCGCCTTTCCAGGAGTCATGTTACCAGGCTTACTATTGATAGTCTCGTAGCAATATATTAAGAATTTAGGATCTGCAAGAAGACCTATTAGATCCGTATATCTGCCCGAGAGTTTGCGTTCTCTCAACGAAGAAGAAAGACCTCCGCGGATCTTATCCGAAGGAAGGCTCTTGTTCGTCTGCGGATGCGAAAGGTTTGCAAATGTCACACGAAGCGTTAGAGCTTCTGACAAACTGCAGACCATTCATTCTCGCCAATGGAGGAGTGCCAGGGCACTCAAGGGTGTCATGGATGAGTTGGTCGCCATTCCTGATCATGGGGTCACTGAGACCCAATTAGTCAACCTATTCTATCATGCCATTCCCGAGCCTTTACACGGGCATTGCTTTGAGAAGAGCAGGGAGTCTACCATGACCTACGATACACTGAGTAGGGAAGTGGCAGCGTATGAGGCGCAGTCCATGTCAGTTTCCACTTTCTGGCAAAAGGACTTGGATAAGGGCAAGAAGTGGAAATGTCGTACCATCTCAGGTCAGGTTAAAGGCAAGGATCACTTGATCCTTACGTTAGATGAGGGTGGTATGGAGGAGGTCCCATACGATCAGATAGAATGGGGCCTAGAGGAAGAGGGCAGTGACACTAGTTGGGGGAGAACTTATGCTATTGTCGCGGCTGGAGGGAGGTCGCAGGGAAGAGGAAGAGGCCAGGGCCAAGGGTACCGGGCCTATGGTGGTCGTGGACATGGCGATCAGGTGTTTGGTGGCAGAGGAGACCGCCAAGCGGGAGGTAGGGGTCAAGGTCCCCCGCAAAACCGCTCTCGTTATATACGGTCACCTCTTAGGACGGGTGGATGGCACCCTAGCTTGCTGCAGGGCAGGCCTTGGGAAGATTTGGGCTTAGAACAGGCAGTGTGGCAACGTGGCATAGACCACGATCAGTGCATCTACTGCGGTGATCCAGGGCATATCATAAAATTCTGCCCCAAGTATAGAGGAACCCGATTTGCTGCACAGGCAGCAAAAGGCAATCGCCGGTACGGGTTACAACTGCCCTTACCCCCTAGACCATGTGGAGAAGAGTGCACGCACCACATAGAAACTCCCAAACCACATGTGCCTATGGCAAAGGTTGCTGGCTAGTGCCTAGACAGTTGTCCAGAGACTGCTTGTGTTAGAGTCTCTCTAGGCACTTCCCTCACAGGCGTGGTAGAAGAGTTGAAGAAAAGGATGCCTGCGTGAGCCAAGATGAAGAAGGATGCGAAAGGACAACTAGTTTTAGTAGATGTAGAGGTCTTTAGAGAAAGAGGAGGGGCCTTTATAGATAGTGGGGCCACCCGCAACTACATTAGTAGAAAAGCGCTGCAGAAGCTGAAGTTAAATTTGAAGGTCCAAAAGTTAGAAGACCCCGTAGTCACTATCCTCGCAGACAATCGCACTATGCGAGGCAAGGATTACGTTGAGGGAGTACAGGCGTACTTTCGCCTAGAGAAGGATGGGAAGATAGAGAGAGTT